CCCAACTCCGGGGCAGGGCTGGGAATGGAACCAGGAATTCTCTTGCCAGCCCTGGGCTCTAACAGCCTCCTACTCCTCTCCCTGCCAGCCCAGCCACCCTCTCGAGAAAACCCGCCCCCTGCCCCTCCCCCCCGACGGCGCCCCCACTCACAGCATGTACGTGATCACGCCCAGGCTCCACATGTCCGTCGAGTAGGAGACCTGATCGTAGTTCACCACCTCCGGGGACAGGAACTCCGGGGTCCCAAAGTTGACTTTCAGCTTCTCCCGCGGGTTGTACCTGTGGGCGGGGCAGGCGGGGGCAGGGGCCGCCCCCCAGCCAGTGATGAGAAAGGCCCCAACCCGCTGCCCCCCCGCCAGGTACAGCTGACTCAACAGCGCGGCTGCCAAGCCCCGATGGCAGATTCTGCCCCCCACAGGGATTCCTTCCTGTCCTCCCCAGGCCTACGTCACCGGGGCAGGCATAAAGCCAGCACAGCTGCCCCGAGTGCGGCCTTTGCCCGGCCCCCAGGGCCGTGGGAAGGGGGGGGAGCCGGGGGAGGGAAGGAGCCTGCGCGCCAGCCCGAAGTCGATGATCTTCACCATGTGCCCCGTGGAGGCCACGCACAGGATGTTCTCGGGCTGCAGGGATGAAGTTCCTGGGGGTCAGAAGCCAGCTCCTGGCTACGCGCCTGCCCGCCTCCGGCCTGGCAGCGGTTCCTGGCCCCCCGCAGAGGAGCTGGGGACAACCCGCCCGGGAGGGCCTCCCCCGGAGCCGCGCCAGGGACGGAGCAGCTGCTGGATTCGCGGCCGGGCACTTCAGTGCCAGGGGCAGGGCAGCACGGTGCTGCCACCCAGCGTCGCCAGGCTCTGGATGCACCACCAGGGACGTGGATTGTGGTTTGTAGGCACTGAGAGAGACCCACACTGCCCGTGGTTCCCTCCCTAATGCTGCTGTGCACACCCCAGGCCTGCCAGCGATCTGCCTCCCCGGCGTTCCTCATGCCCCCCAGAACCAATGTTCCCAATCATTTTTCCCATCCATGTGCAGAATAAATTTTGTTCTGTGCACTGTGTGCACGGATGTGCACCACAAAAAGAAACACGGGCTGCCGGCTCTGGGCACTCTGCTAATCAGCTGGGTGGCACCTGATTCTCTCCTGGGTGGCCGCCCAAGTGCACAGCTTACAGGGGACCCTGCCCAGAACCCTGCTCCTGGCCCATATGCCGAGATCGACCCTTTGAACAGCAGAAGACCCGGCCCGGCCCCCCAAGGTTCTACCCCCATAAAACCCCCAGTAACCTGGCCCAGGCCGCTGTGCCAAGCCAAGACACGAGTCCGCGTGACAAAGCCCCGAGCGATAGGACTGTGGGAAAAGGGGGGGGGGCATGCTGCCCCCCTACCTAGCACAGGGACCCCTGGAACTCAGGAGGTGGAAATTCCTGCATCTGGAGGCCTTGTCCCCCCAGACAAGGTTCTACCCCCATAAAACCCCCAGTAACCTGGCCCAGGCCGCTGTGCCAAGCCAAGACACGAGTCCGCGTGACAAAGCCCCGAGCGATAGGACTGTGGGAAAAGGGGGGGGGGCATGCTGCCCCCCTACCTAGCACAGGGACCCCTGGAACTCAGGAGGTGGAAATTCCTGCATCTGGAGGCCTTGTCCCCCCAGACACAACCGCTGCCGGGCTTGTCCCACGCCTGGACCCTGCGCCCCCCAGGGCTATTCGCACAGTCTCACAGAGCAGCCCTTCAGCCCCACAGCCGGTTCCCCCTCCAGCCCCACAGCCTGGGGGCCGTAGCCCCTCCCGTCTTCCCTCCCACGGCACCTTGAGGTCCAAGTGCAGGACGCGCATCTGGTGCATGAAGGTGATGCCGTCGCAGATCTGCCGCACGAAGACCATGCAGTCCACTTCCGTCAGGTGGTAATCCTCGTCGATGATGCGCTCGAAGAGCTCCCCGCCCTCCACGCTGC